CTGGCATCGAAGGGTTTGTAATTTACAGTGATGCGTTCCATAAGGGATTAGGGTGTGTGCTTATGCAAGGTGGAAGGGTTATCGCCTATGCTTCACGACAGCTTAAACCCCATGAAAAGAATTATCCCACGCATGATCTTGAACTCGCGGCGGTGGTTTTTGCTTTAAAGATATGGCGGCACTATTTGTATGGTACTACCTGTGAAGTTTACACCGACCACAAAAGCCTTAAGTACCTTTTTACCCAGAAGGAATTGAACATGCGGCAGCGTCGGTGGTTAGAGTTAATTAAAGACTATGATTTACAGATCCATTATCATCCCGGTAAGGCCAACACGGTTGCAGATGCTCTTAGTCGGAAGAATATGGGAGATTTGGCCAACCTGTTTACAGAGCAAAGGGAATTGGTAGATGAACTGGATAAAATGAGTATGGAGTTTAAGATACATGGACAGGAAACATTACTAGCAGCGGTAATGGCTCAACCGACTTTACTTGAGGAGATCAAGGCACATCAAATGGAGGATGACATTCTCAAGAAGGTATGTGATGAGTTAGAGACAAAACCAAAATCGGGGTTCAGTTTAGTGGATTCGGTACTCAAATTTCAAAATCGAATATGTGTCCCCAATGTTTTAGAATTGAAACGGAAATTGATGGAAGAAGCGCACGCCTCAAGATTTTCCATGCATCCGGGAAGTACCAAAATGTACCAGGATCTGAAACAAAATTTCTGGTGGCCAAGCATGAAAAAGGAGATTGCAGAATTCGTCTCTAAGTGTTTGCAGTGCCAGCAAGTGAAAGCGGAGCATCAAAGGCCAGCAGGATTATTACAACCCCTTCCTATCCCGGAATGGAAGTGGGAACATCTAACCATGGATTTTGTTGTGGGATTACCACGGACACCTCGGGGTATGAATTCTATATGGGTCATTGTCGACCGATTAACTAAGTCTGCCCACTTTCTGCCAGTGAAGACTCAGTACAATGCAGATAGACTGGCGGTCCTTTATGTGAATGAAATTGTAAGATTGCATGGTGTACCGGTCTCAATTGTATCGGATAGGGATCCAAAGTTCGTTTCCAGATTCTGGCAAAGTTTGCAAGAAGCCATGGGTACAGAATTAAAATTCAGCACAGCTTTCCATCCTCAGACTGATGGTCAATCCGAAAGAACAATACAAACTCTGGAAGATATGCTCCGGATGTGTGTGCTAGAGTTTCAAGAAAGTTGGGAAACCCATTTACCACTGGTGGAGTTCGCATATAACAATAGTTACCACTCAAGTATTGCAATGGCACCCTATGAAGCTTTGTATGGACGACCGTGTCGTTCTCCCATATGTTGGGCTGAAGTTGGAGATAAATCCTTGCTAGGGCCTGAAATTGTTCAGCTGACAACTGACAAAGTTAAAATTATTCGAGAAAGATTAAAAACGGCTCAAAGTAGACAAAAGAGTTATGCGGATAACCGACGGAGAGATTTGGAATTCGAAGTGGGCAGTCACGTCTTTGTAAAAGTTACTCCGATAAAAGGTCATCCAAGATTTGGGAAAAGGGGGAAGTTAACGCCCCGCTACGTTGGTCCCTTTCAAATTTTGGAAAGGGTAGGTCTGGTGGCTTACCGGGTTGCCCTTCCGCCACATATGAGTCAAGTGCATAATGTGTTTCATGTCTCTATGCTTCGAGGGTATCTAGCAGATCCGTCTCATGTCATTGATTATCACCAGATTGCACTAGATGATAAGTTAACTTATGAGGAAAAACCAATCCGCATTTTGGATCGGCAAGTGAAACAATTACGAAACCGAGAAATTCCAATGGTGAAAGTGGAATGGCAAGAACATTACGGAACCGACGCAACTTGGGAAAAAGAAGAGGAGATGCAACATCAGTATCCACATTTGTTCTACCCTGAGGTAAACCAAGTTCGGAGGACCAAACTTATTTAAGGGGGGGAGAGTGTAATAACCCGACCCTCGTACATGTTCTTTGTTATACGAGGCTGACTGATCCTGCCCATTTCCCCCTTTGGTGAATGTTGTAGTTGAAGCCAATGGTGATGGCAATGGTAATGCAGCTCCAGAACTTGCTTTCTTCTCATCAACGCTGAGAACTGAGGTATTTGACTGGTCGACATTCAAGGCAGTGGTCGACTCTGAAATAGCTCCTGATTTAAACTTTGATTTTTGCTTAAGAGCATGAATTCCAGTGTACAGTCTGTAAAGCGAGAAACACAACACAACCCGTAAATTCATGAGTAGAAATCCATACAAGGCACATATGATACAATCGTATACACCATATTTACTATCGTGAACGTGACATAATCTTCTAATGTGTTGAAACAATATAATATTTCTTTCAAAATCCAAACTTCATCAGAAGTAACCATTTTCTTCAAGGGAAACACCAATCTATTGCAAGAAACAATTTAACAATTCGGTGACACATGACCTTCGCCAGACAGAGAACCAGAGGGTATTAGCCCCCAACCAAACATTGGAAATTTCACAATTCAACTCTTGCTGACATGGCTGCTAACCAAGAGTAATGTTTAGCACTGTTCCATTTATATCTTCTTCATGACAAGTTAACCAAAACTCCATCTTAACTACGCATTTCCAATGATGAGGAAAACTTCACAACTATAGGAAGTAAGGCCAATATAGGAAACACAATAGCTGATTAAGGACCAAACATGGCAGATGACACCTTGGTCGGTCAAATAATTCAAGTGTTCAGCTCAATGTGTTCTAGGAAAAGCTACCGATACAACATCGCTACCTTGTGTGCCTGTTTTAGGACCGAAGGGGATTTAGTCCTAAAACAAGTGTTGAATCTAGAACAAAATTAAGGACCGAAGAAAAGCAACCACATAATGACCGCTGCTTTCTTTAAAGGCAGTTCTCATCCACATTTTTTGTATTTTTGTCATTTACTATAAAGTTAAGGTTATTTATGTCTACATACATAAATAAGGGCAAAATTGGGAATGACATGAAAATTTGTGATGATCTGATCAACATCTGTTAGTACTATTAACAGACAACTAACAGATGGGAAAAGTGAAATTCAAAATTGAACCTGAAGGGAGGTTAGTGTTTTTTTAGAAACGTCAAGGGAGGCTTCTATAATTGTCATAAACCTCAGGGGAGGTCAGTGTAATTTACCCTTTTAAATAACCTACCTTCATGATGGGTTCAGTCTTGATAACCACTGAGATCAATCACGCAGAAGTCTCACATTTTCAGAAAAATAAAAAATAAACAAATGACATAGTGGCAATGTATCACCTAGCATGCCTGGCGTACTCCTTGTAATTTTCAAGCAACATCATGCCAGCCTGCTCATTCAGAGCTGATTCTGGAAATGGTTCTATCAGTAGACACCTGACTACCTGTGATATATAACAAATATAAGAGCTTAATGAGAAGATAATCGGACCAGCACACAAGCCACGTGAATGCAAAAATCTCTAGAGGATTGATGGGTTCAACAAATTACTGGTCTCTGCATCAAAGTGAAACAAAACTAGTACTCTAAACTGCACATCAACTTACAATCAGAACATGTCGTAACCCAAGACTTGGATTCCAATCCTTTTTCAATGTGTTGACACAAATCTCACCATTTGTTGCAATGTTTGGATGAAAAATCTTAGTCAGAAAGTAACCTACAATAAAATTCACAGAGGATTCAACATATGGGAATGGATTGATGATGAATAATTTGTTCTTGAAAAGACAGAAATCTTAAAAACTGCAACAGAGCAGACTGAGAGCCAAGAATTTCACAGAGCATGCTAATCAAAACCCAAATGCATCATCAAAGACCCAACAAGAATCTACACTCCCATTCAAGAAGAAACATCACATTATTCATATATACACATATATCACCATAAAATTATGATCTTATAACAACACAAGTTAAGAATCACCAAAGAAAAATTCTGTCCCTGAAGTTGTTAGATTAGAACCAAAAAAAAAAAAAAAAAAGAATCATGTTAGTATGACATAGGCTTGACATGTACTATCTGGAAAGTGGTACTCCGCTGCTAGCTGGAGTTGTGATGACAATACCAATAATATACAGAATGAAGGAGGAGGCCCATTCTACAACCAGAAGCAACAATACATAAAACAACACCTAATTAGTACACATTAATGTGTGTTTGGGAGGGGAAAGAAGAGAATATCGTTTTGGAAACACTTCCACTAAAATAGAAGCCCCTAGGCAACGAAATGTAACGTAAAAACATCTAAAGATGTCCTGAAGACCAGCTCCCATAATTTCCATAAGATAACTCCAAGCCAACAGCTAGGACAGCTGACACCGCCGTTTGAACACATTTGAACTTATCAAAACACAATAAATTAAAAATCCTGAATGAGCTTTCTGGACCTACATATAGTCAATTTCTAAACTCTTCTCATACAAAAATGACATGTCACTCGAAAAGGCAGATAATCAAGAGCACATGAGAAAAAAAGAAATCTCTAAAGTCTCTCATCTATGCCAAGTATGTTCAAAGAAAAATAACAGAGCAAATGAAGAATGCCCATTTGAGTGGTGGAGACAGGATTACACTATCAAGATATTTCTCGAGAAGTTCTGCATACAAGTCAATCTCGATATTTTTTTACACACAATTTTATAAAAAATGTTTAATAATTTAAAATTTGTTAACAAGAGTTCTTGAAAATAAAAAAATAAAAAATAAATAACTATTTTAGGTGTTTATTTAACAAGGAGCAGCGATGTAAGTAAAAAATTTTAGGGATAATTTCATTTTAGTGTATATTTAGAACTATATATATGTAACAGATCAAAAACCCCCTATATACACTCACAGATGTATATATATATATATATATATGTGTGTGTGTGTGTGTGTATGAAAACCCCCTATATCCGAAATCCCGACACAGAGAGAGAGAGAGAGAGAGAGAGATACCCTTTGAAATCGGCAGTGAGGGAGGATCGCCGGCGAATGAGGAGTGACGGTGAGGGGCGAGCAGCCGTCATGTATGAGAGAGAGAGAAAGAGGCAAAACTCTAGGTTCTAACCAGCAGCGGTGGTGAGGGAGGAGGATCGACAGTGAGGTACGAGCGGCGGTGAGGGAGGATCGGCGCCGTCATTGTGTGAAAGAGAGAAAGAGGAAGGCGAAACCCTAGAGAGAGAGAAAGAGAGAGAGAGAGAGAGAGAGAGAGCAAGAGCAGAGAGAGCGGCTCTATGTGTGTTGTATGTGACTGGTCAGCCAAAACCCTACACACACACATATGTTATATATAAGCAGGGGCAAAATAGTAAATTCACGTTTGGGGCCAACTGGGCCGGGGATCAGGGCCGGGGTCGAGCCGGGTCCGGGGCTGAAACATGTATCCCCATCCCCGACCCGAATATCATCAGGGATTTGATTTTTAATACCATCCCCGGCTTGTCGGGGGTATTTTTCGGGGAATAACCACTCAATTCGGGGGTCAGGGGATTAGGTCCCCGTCGGGCCGGGTTCCGATTGCCATCTCTATTTTTACATCACCAGAATAAACGTGAGATTTTACATAAAAGGACTAACGTCGCAGGTAAATATTTATTATTTATTTTATTATGTAAACATTTTATTTTATTATATGTATCCAGTTATGTAGTTTTATTTATAAACTTTCGAACTTTCTGATCAAATTAAAATAGTTTTTTTTTTTAATGAACCTAACTCTGATACCACCTTTGTCACGATCCAACCCCAGGGGCTTAGGGCTAGAATCACAACTTACTAATTTATTTATAGCAAATTAAATGACACGGGCGGAGACAAATAAAAAATAATTAAACAAAAAATTTACTTCATTATACTATTTTAATAAGAGAAAATACATCTATAGGGCTTTTATTTATTTATATTTTTATTATGCAGTGACCGACCCTTAGTAAAAAAATAAATAAATAAAAGGAAGAAAAGGAAAAAAAACAAAATAATGGATTAGCATCAATTCTTGTTCAGGTTCCATTACATGAGATTACGGGTCTTCCTTACATCTCATCACCTGAAAGAGTAACAGCTATAAGCACACAGTAGAATGAGAAATATTATGCCAAAAATATAGGGAACACAAAATAACCATGGATAGTTAGTTAAGTTAAAACATTTACATAACTTAATTTGAATAAACAAATTATTCAAAATGGCAGAAACTGAAATACATAAATTATGTAAATAAATAACCATAACCACGATACAGAACAGAACAGAACAGAGGTCACAGAAATGACAGTCAGAACAGAGGTCAATGGATCCATGACAAATAGAAGACCACAAAATGGACAAATAGAGGCCAATAGTTATTTAAGTCCCCCAAGGCGTGGGACTCCCGTGGTGGTACTTACAAAACATAATTGTTTATAAGGTCATTGTCAAATATTTTTTAAAATTTAAACAAACATATCCATAGGTTCCATTTTAAACAAATAGAGTTCAGAAAACAATCCACGTAATTGAAATATTAATATAATTTATAAAACATAACTTGTATAAAATAAATTATGGTAAGTCAAAACATACTTAAAATATATTATGATGAGTCAAGGTATAATATAAATCACCTTAATATTAATTCCTACTATTTCCCTTCTATTTACGCTAGCTTCTCGAGACCATTTCCTTCCTCCTTCCTGTCTTTTTTTTTTTTTTTCTTCTTTTCCCCTCATTCCTTTACTCAATTCGTGGCCCCCTCTCTTATATATACACAAGCACATGATGCCTCAAAATGGTGACTCACTTCCCCTAAGGCCTAGATAACACAGGTGGCGCAACATCCTTCTCTTGGAGAGATTTATAAATCTTGTTAATTAATTGTTAGTTAATTGATGTTAGCCTTAACACTTTCTATTGGCTTTATTATATTTGGTATGCTTATTCTTAGTATTACTATTGCCTACTATTATTATCATTATTATTCTTATTCCATATATTTATTTTATTATTGTAATGCCCCAAATTTCTAACCCAAATGATAATGCAACAATCATGGCTCTCTTAAAGAAAAGCCAAATATAACTTCCTATACTTGTATTACATAATATTAATAGTTCCTTATGCGATATGACATTGATTCAACAACAAGTAAATAACCAAATAAGCACCCCCAAGGGGTTTACAATCTTCCAAGGTTTAAACCCGGTACACAAAATGGTTATTCAAACCCACACATACATAGCCCTTGGCTTACAAATAGGATCACAGCAAATGAGAACCTTAGTGCTCTCAACACACACATTTCCACGCCCTCAATTAGGCGGATTCAGACTTAGAACCGTGACAAATTTGAGAGTCCTGAGCTGTAGTGACCCCAAATGAACGGAACGGGAGCTCGTTCCTCCCGGGGCGTTCGGGGACGTTTACACCATGTCTTTTTGAAAATGAAACACATCTTCATCTTTTGAAAACCATCATGCTCAATGATGTTATGCAACTTCAACTGTTCAAAATTTATCAATTTAATTAAAGGGGGCAGTAAATACAACTCTGGTAATCCCTAGGTCGGTGTCTGCAAGTAGACTATACAAGTACTACCAATTGTCATTTTTACCGGTATTAACCGGAAGGCTCGACACCTATCCGCACAACTTTCTGGTCTTTCACTAAGGACACTGAGGCCAACTTAAACAATTTTATCTACACCACCTATCAAGACTTACAACAGTATTTATCCCAAAAACATTTCATGAAAACCCATTTCTCAACATTCTTTTCTCAATGCAAATTTGTAATAACCCTCACCACTGATTACTGATTAATTACTAATTACTACCAAACTAAAACTGATTATGACTGATAATTGAATTGATTGAGATACTGAACTAACCGACTGAAATCTGGAACTGAATTAATTGAGTATATCTGTTTAATTGCATTTCTATCTGTTGCCTGTTTGATTATCTGTTCATGTTTTTACGTTTAAACTGCTAATTGAAGGCCTTATCAGCGGCCAAATCTAAAATCGATTGACGTTTTGTGTTAATTAGATTTTGTGATTTTATGGCATATTTATCTAAAATGTGATTTGGTATGATTGAAATAGATTAAAATAAGCTTAATGTCAAGAGTTGGCCTAATTACCATTTTGCCACATGAGTGGCCCACTACCTAGATTGTATTTGAGCCTCATTATACACTTAGGCAACATTTCTTCAGCCTATTTTCTTGTTCTTGCCGACTTGAGAGAGAGAGAAATAGAGAAGCTTGGTTCTATCTTGGTTTTGCTAAGAAATTGAAGAAATTGAAGTGTAGATTGCTCAATTAAGCTTCCTTGCCTCTAATTCAAGACTTAGGTAAGGAGACTCAACCTCTCATTGTTGTGTTTAAGTGGATTCTTGCATGGTTCATGTCTAATTAAGGAACTAAGTCATGTTTTAGTTCTAACATGTTGAATTATAGCTTAATTGTTGCATGCATGTTTATATATTGAAGTTTTGAGGTTGTAGTTCATAATTCCTCACATGCATGTCCATGTTTTGAGAATAGATCATGAATTCATCTTGATTTTGTAAGCTTTGGCTCTTTGGAGCATGAAATTGAAGCTTGAAAGTGGTTTAAACTCATGCATTCATGTTTGTAGCATGTTCATGAAAATTGGTTTGAAATTGAGTTTGAATTAAACACCCTTGGGCTTTGATTTCTCAAATTGAGCTTTCAACCATGTTGTTCTATGTGTTTACAAATGTTTTCCAGAAAATAGGCCCAAGAGGATTGAATTTGGAGCATCAAAAGTTGGTTTTTGGCTTGAAGGTGCAATCTGGATTTTCTAGATTTTGCACTCCCGCTCGAGCGGGGGAAACTACGCTCGAGCGGGGAATTCGAGCATCCAGTACTTTGCATGAGCTTACAGTCTGCTCAAGCGAGAGAATTCACGTTCGAGCGAGGACTTGTGTCTCACGCTCGAGCGAGGACTTGTGTCTCACGCTCGAGCGGGTGTCGAGCGCCCGTCGAGCGTGAATTTTGAGCATCCATTATTTTCACTGTAGCTTGCAGTTCGCTCGAGCGACGGAAGTCATGCTCGAGCGGAGCTCCTTTGTCTGCATGTCCGCTCGAGTGTAGAAAGTCATGCTCGAGCAAGACCCCTGTTTTCTGAAAATTTTGTATAGAGTTTCTAAGTGCATCTTTGCATCCTTATTCCATCCTAGGCATTCTTAGGCCTAGTTTAAGGCATCTTAATGAGGATATAGATGTAGAACACACCGAGGCAATTAGGGATTAAGTTACTATCTTTCCCAACTGTATGACTTAATATGTGTTCATCTTGTAAACTGTGTAGGGTTGGCATCTGGGGACGCGCTCTAGCCTAACTGTAGCCCAGAGCTCTGTGAGTAACAATTGTGTAAAGATATGTTCAACTGTGAATATTTATGACTGTTTAACTGAACTGTTTTCTGAACTGATACTGTTAATCGAATGAATGTATGTCCTATATTCTGAACTATATTGTGGCATCCTTAGCAACTACTGTTTACTGTTACTGCTACTGTTACAGAGATCTCTGTCGGTTCCCTTGTTGGAACCACTACTGTTTACTGATTGATGGCCATCATTACCTGCTTGGTCTTTTAAGACCTACTGTTTACTGTACTGCTATGCTAATAGATGTACCACGTATGACTGAATGACTGAATGATTGATATACTGAATCAATGAACTGTTTTCATTACTGGAAGGACATTCATTCTAAACCCCTTTACGCATTATGTTATTCACTGGGCTTTAGCTCACTGCTCATATATATATGTAGGTGTACAAGCACCAGACCGCGGCTAGGAGCATCGGGGTAAACTCTAGTTTTGCCAAGCCAACTACTGTGCCTCACTGCGAGATTCCGAGCCTGTTTAGCAAAGGCTATGGAGTGTTTTAGTTTTCCCCCTTCTGTTCTGTTTTATAAGGACTGTATAGACCGTTACTGTACTATTTAATAGGGATTAGGTCCCTGTTCTAAATGGTTGTGAATATTGTACATACTGTTCTGTACTGTGTATATATATATATGTATGAAAAGTCTTTTTGCATGCAAACTGTCACAGCTCATTGGTCATTGTTTATTTACTGTATTGGCTTCCGACATGCCCCTGTACTCTGTTTTACTGTATTACT